TTTCAATACTGACTGAAGACTAGAGACTCTTGAGGAATCTCTCAGGCCCAGAGAACCAGACTGGGACTACCCAGGTACCCAGCCTCGTATACTGAGCAGGTACCAGGTTTCTGGCCTCTCCAGGATGCAGATGGCCATTGTTGAACTAATGTGCCCCCATAAGCCATCATTGTAACTCCCCTTTCAGGAGCTCTGCCTGACACACAAAGACAGAGACAAGAGAAGACAGACAGACCAAGAGTATGCTCCCTCTGTCCCTAGGTCCCCTCCATTCCCGTCCGTCTCTGCAGCTGGCTCGCTCTGCCTTTCTCTTCAGCCTGCCATCCCGTTCGTATTGTGGTAAGAGAGAACTCTACTGACATTCCATCCACCAGAACTTGGGGTTGCACAGTTTCATTTTAGAGGAAGTTTAGGACTAGACACTGCCACACCCAGGCTTCCCCAGCATTAGTAACAAATATGACAAGGAGGTATCCATCCTATGCTGCGATGGTCCAGCCTGGGCTGCCTCTGCCACCTCTGCTCACGCCACCCTATACCTCACCCTACCCCAGAACTCCTGCAAGGATTGCACAGAGCTAAGCCTAGGTCTCGGTCTGATGGTCACATGGCTGGCTCCTCATCCCTTTACCTGGAGCTTTTGTCTGTCAGTTCTATTGGTAGTCACATCACCCATCTAGATCCCAAAGGACACTGTGTCCAGGATTTACCCTAACTTACCCAAGTCCTGGCAAGCGCATATGTTTGCTGAGTGAAAACTCACCTTGTTAGGCATTTCCATTTGGGCAGATATTTTGCATTCAGAGGCCCACTCATCTATAGGTAGGGTTTGGGGCCATTCTGCTGGATCCTAGGGCCCATTCTGATTTGTTGAACATTCTCTGGGGTATTATCTCAATGCATTTGAGGCAGCTTCACAGAGTACCTAAGACAGGGTGTTTTGGTCCAAAGGCTTCTTGCTGATGGTTCTGGAGGCTGGGAGATGGGTCCAGAATTGAGTGATCTCCATCTGACCGTTGAGTCTCATCCCTGGAAGGAGGTGGGAGAGAGAGAAGAGGAAATTCACATGTGCACAAGGGGTAACTATGAAGAAGGAACTAGACGCCTTCTATACTTGTGACGAGGGCCCAAACGCATGCCTGTGGAGCCCTCCAGCCCTTTCTTCCTCTGCTAGACCCCCTGTCTCCAATACCTCTGAGTTGAGGGTAAAATTTCCAGCCCAGAGATCTCCAGGGCTCAGTCAGTAGGGCCTCAGCACCCACCTTCACGAAATTCCCTTTCCCACTGCATTGTAAGAGTGTGGGAGTTATCAGCTGGGGGAGTGAGCAGCCTGCCAGAGGTAGGGCAGGATCTGCATCCAGGCCTTTTAAAAACTCTCAAACCCACCTCTCCACCAATACTGCTTTTTGCTGCCTCCCCTGACAAGTCACAGCCACAGAATACACGGGGTTTGAAGTTCCTTCCTGAATTTTTCAAAACACTATGAAAGTTTAATACCGAAAAGCATTAAAAACTCCCACAAAAAAAAAAAAAAATACTGTCTGTCTCAGCCCTGGGATGTGTTTCCTCCCGGGGGACAGGAAGCAGAATCACCCCCTTGTGTGAAGGAACATATGTATCTGGCTTGTCTAGTGAATCCAGCTAATAAAGCAAATTAAAGATTGAAGGCCCGGGCCAGTGCCCTCTCAGAGGTGGGACTCAGCTTCCTGGCTCCCACCCCAGCCCTTTCTTCTCCCCTCTACAGTCCTTCATCAATACCTGCCACGGACTCAAGACACATAGATGGAAATGGCCTCTGACTGGGGTCCCTGAGGGCATCACTACTGCAAATATATCTCAAGCAAATGCTTAAGGGTTCAATGGGTTTTGCTAAAGAGAGTGGGGGAGCAGATGTAGCTTTCAAGCCGTGGCCTATACTAAGGCTGCTTATTATCTCCAAACCCTGATGGGACAGTCAGGAGGGAAGCTGATGGGACTAAAGAGGCATACCACCATACCATGCCTAAAAGGGACCACTGAACCCATTTCTGCCTTCCATATGCTGGAACTCTATCCTCAGAACTTCATTATACCACTGCATTTGAGCGCAGGGTCACTAAAGAAGGGAGTGAGGTAATGAGAGGATGTGGGTAGATCTTAGGTAGCAAAACTGGTGCAATGATGCTGGAACACATATAGGGATGGGGAGATGGCTTCATGGGGAAAGGTGCCTGCCACACAAGTAGGAACACCTGCGTTTGACTCCCCATAACTCACGTAGAGCTGGATGCATAGTGAGGGTGTCTGTAATGTCATTCATTACTCCTGTGTGTATCTAGATGGGAGGTAGAGACATGAGAAAATTCTCAAGTCAGCAAGCCTGGCGTACACAGCAGAAAATCAACAAGGAGACTCTGTCACAAACGAGGTAGAAGACAAGGAGTCATGACAATGACCCAAAGGAACTTGAGAAGGAAAGGGTTTATTTAGTCCCACAGTTTACAGTCCATCATGAAGCAAAGTCAGGGCAGGAACCTGGAGGCAGGAACTGAAACAGAGGCTGTGGAGGAATGCTGTTTACTGGCTTCCCCCCCCCCCCCCCGTGGCTTGCTCAGTCTACTTTCTTATATCAGCTAGGACAGTGAGCTTAGCCATCCCACATCAATCATTTATGAAGAAAATGCCCCCACAGATATGCCACAGTTCAATCCAGTGGAAATATTTCCTCAATTGAGCTTTGCTCTTCCCAGGGAACTCCAGCTTGTGTCAAGTGGACAAAAATAAAACTATCCAGGACAAGGACTAATGTCCAAGCTTGTTAATCTGACCTCCAGATGTGTGAAGTGGCACACATAAACCTGCCTTCACACATATGCACACACACACAAATACTACACACACACACACACACACACACACACACACACACACACATCACAGAGAAATACAGAGAGAGGCAGAGACTGACAGAACAGACACATATCCAAGGATGGCCGTGCAAGAATACAGGGATTAGACAGAGATGTCTCAGGAGGAACCATCCCCATGGACCTTGAACTTGTCGCATCCAGGCTGTGATATGGCACCCTTCCATTGTTTAAGTCACCCAGCAGCTTTATGTCAGCTTTCTCAGCAAATGAACACAAGGCCTCGCAGAAGCTTCTGCAGGAGGAGACCAGTACCTCTGTGCCTCTCCCATGCAGAGAAAGTCATTGCCAGAAGAGACATCTAAGTTTGCAGGGCAAGTAAAAGCTAGGCAGGGACTCCAACAGGAAGAGATACTGGGGTCTGCAAGTTCAGTGGCTGGTGGATTCCAGAGGTACAAAAGTCATGGTGACAGAGACATCTAAGGGACACCAGGATACCACTCAGAATGAAATGCCAAAGGGAAGTTGGGGTTATTATGACCTGGTGCCATGTCCCCCAGTCATTTGAGGCTTACAAGACAGTGTCCATCTATGGCCTGTGCAGTGTGGAGACTGGCCCCATGGCACTGCAGGACCCCAGTAGATCTCAGCTGCACTTGAATCACCCAATCTTAGAATCCTACAGGAAGATAAAGCCACTCCCTGGCCCTTGCTCTAGTGGTGAGGCAAGGGTTTCCTCAGAACACTACTAACTCTTGAGGACCACAAAAAATGGCCCTGGCTCCCCAGAGGTCTCTGGTCGCAGACACCCCACCCACCCTGGCCATCACTTCCGATCTCCCAGCTCTATCATTTCCCTATACATAGTGTATTCTCTCCTCCATACACGTGAGGGAACACAGCCTAATGCAATCAGGACATCGTGGCCCCTTGCCTCACACTGAGTTCTCAGGTTGGCTTCCTGGCTAGGCCATATTTCTTCACGTGTTCCATCAAGTGTCACTGAAGCCCATGGGGACTGTTGTGATCCAGTCCCAAGCAGGGATTTCTCAGTCCTTGGAACCATTCAGCTTGGATGTAAGGCAGTCGTCTCTGGGCTCACACTCTCTCCCTTTTCAGTATCTCTAGGTGGGCAAACTTCCCTCCTGTGGCTCCTCCTAAAGCTCCCTGTAAGTGGAATAGTTTTCCTCACACACCTCAGACACCTGCTGTGGAATGTTCTGTATGGCAAATGTGTTGCTAATTAGTTAATAAATAAAACACTGATTGGCCATTGGCTAGGCAGGAAGTGTAGGCGGGACAAGGAGGAGAATAAAGCTGGGAAGTGGAAGGCTGAGTCAGAGAGACACTGCCAGCCACCATGATGAGAAACAGCATGTAAAGATGCCGGTAAGCCACGAGCCATGTGGCAAGGTATAGATTAATGGAAATGGATTAATTTAAGCTGTAAGAACAGTTAGCAAGAAGCCTGCCATGGCCATACAGTTTGAAACCAATATAAGTCTCTGTGTTTACTTGGTCGGGTCTGAGTGGCTGTGGGACTGGCAGGTGAGAGAGATTTGTTCTGACTGTGGGCCAGGCAGGGAAACTTAAGCTACAAATGGCGTCCAATGTGGTGGCAAGAGTTTCCACCTAAAAACTGACAAAAAAAAAAGATTCTAAAACGGAGCTAAAAACAGCTTCCTAATTGTCTCTCTCAAATGAGCGGCAGCTGCTGGTTTGAGCTACTGGTGGGTTCCTAGCGTGCGTGCTCGACCTGCCTATGGCGGGAATGAGGCCTTTGCAAGTGGCACTTTGAGCTGCATGGTGGATTTAGCCTTTGCTGGTGCAGAGCAAAAGGGGAGGTTTCTGGGCTACACGCTGCTTGGCTAAAAGCATAGACCCCCGATAGCTCCCAGAGCTGGCGGTAAACCATGGCCATGTTGGGAAGCTGAGGTGGGTGGATCCAGCAGCCACAGCTGCTGCAGTTTAAGGCAATAGATTCACAATAAGACAGATTCAGATGTAATAGTTTACAATGTGTGTAAAAGATACGTAGGCTTGAAAGAGACAAAAAAGATGATATATAGAGTTATAGAAACAAATACATAGTTTTAAAAAATAAAGTCTTTAAAGAGACAGTAAAGGTAGTATAAAAAATAAACCACGTAAAAATGGATATTACACAGAGAATCTGCATTGTGTTGTCTTTGGGACTTTTAACTGCAGAAAAATATTTGATTGTAAAAGCTGTTGAGTTATGCCAATATGTATATTTTAAAGGTACCTTGACTTCAAAATTTGGATATAAGGATATGTTACTTTGGAAAGGAGACTCTGCTTTTGTTCCCACAGAAAGCCAAAGGCTATGGATTTGTTCCAGATTAAGATACATCAGGTTTGACCAGCCAAGACCCCCTGAAAGGTCTCCTATGACACCATGGCCCAGATGATCCAACATCCAGAATGGTTTCAAGGCAACTAGTTCAGACGATACAGCCTCATGGACTATTCCATAATCCTAAAATTTTCTTTGTTTCCCCATAAGATACAGCGTCCCCCTCCAGCAGGAAGTAGTAAGAGAAGCTACGCCCAAATTCCCAAATTATATGTAATTTTACTTTGTTAAGGTTAAAACCTTCCTTTTTGAAAAAAAAAGGGGGAAGTGCTGTGGAATGTTCTGTATGGCAAATGTGTTGCTAATTAGTTAATAAATAAAACACTGATTGGCCATTGGCTAGGCAGGAAGTGTAGGCGGGACAAGGAGGAGAATAAAGCTGGGAAGTGGAAGGCTGAGTCAGAGAGACACTGCCAGCCACCATGATGAGAAACAGCATGTAAAGATGCCGGTAAGCCACGAGCCATGTGGCAAGGTATAGATTAATGGAAATGGATTAATTTAAGCTGTAAGAACAGTTAGCAAGAAGCCTGCCACGGCCATACAGTTTGTAACCAATATAAGTCTCTGTGTTTACTTGGTCGGGTCTGAGTGGCTGTGGGACTGGCAGGTGAGAGAGATTTGTTCTGACTGTGGGCCAGGCAGGGAAACTCTAGCTACAGACACCTGTGCCCACCCTAGTCTTTCCTCTAAGCATTCCTGCTTCTCTCCATGCCCCTTGAATATCCTTCCTCTCAAGCCACCAGGTCTCCTCCACCTTTCTCTGGATATCCATTCACCATTATCTTCCCACTACTTGTCCCTTTCACCCAAGCCCTCCATCACCAGGGCTACCTCACAGAGGTTTCCTGTCTGTCAATTCCCACTCTCTTGCTCTAGGAATAGAGGCCACGTACAGCTCTGAAGCTGCTCTGCCCAGAGTCTGGCTTCCAGCTGACTTGGATGAGATGTGTGAGTTGATCTCAACTCTGTCCACGTGACCCTGGTCTCGCCAGTGTCATTTCTAATGTGTGAAATGGTAAATGATAAACCTGTTACAGTCCTTGTAAGATTGGATGGCTCAGTTCATGTGAAAAGCATGGAATGGTATTTGGCACATCTCAAGAAAGCAATTGATGCTAGATGCAGTTATTGAACGGCATGACTGAACTGCTCTACCACCACAGACATCTAAGACACAGTCTTCCCCTCCCCCACTGCCATATTGAATTAGTCCAAATCCTTAGTATGGCTCATTCGCTTGTCCACTTCCCATTCAGCAACTAGCTGTTTCCCTGGCCATAATCAGACACCATACATACCTGTGGTGTCACAGGGTCCCTCCTCACTTTATTTACATGTAATTTAGATGTTTAGTTCTCACCGGAGTGAAAACTGCCTGTATCCTATACCCAAGGCAAGCCTATGAGAGAAAGCAAACATTAGGAGCCCGCATCCTGTTCAGAAACCCAAGGGCACAAGATTACAAGGGCTATGGCTGTTATCAGGATGCCACTCACTACACTCGGCCTCAATGCATGCTGGGAAGAGTGCACAGCTGACAGATGGACTGCCTCTAGGCCTGATGCAAGACATGAGACCCTGCTCCAACACTGACATATAGCAACAAAGACAGAAACATGGCCTCAGTCTCCTCTGGAGAACAAAATGCTATCACCCAAAGCCATGTGCCACGTTGGAGCAGATGTCTGACTGGCTGCCATATTGATACTCTGGAAACTGACTGTAGCTTGGGTAGGCACAGCTGTTCCAGTTGGCCGTTAGGGTGGTGGAAAGATTCCAGCTCTGAAGAAGGAGACTGCCCCTAACAGCATCAGGGTACATTGCAACTCCCTATCATGTGGGTGGACCATGTCAGCTTGATGACGTAAGATTATGAGGACAGTCACAATTCCCCATGATCCCTCTGTGCACAAACCTGGAGGCGGACCAGAAACCATCATGGTGAGCACACAGAGTTTGGGTCATTGTCAAGGTCGCTTGAGCAGAGGGATTGGAGAGTCTGGCTTGTTCTCACTAATTCCCAATGGGGGCAGTGATGCAGGTTGCACCTGGCACAAGGCAGGTTGTGAGGCCACTTCCTCAAAATTGAATCACTCCCTCCTGGAGAGAGGCTCTTACCACCCAGGAAGATAAAAAAAAAAAAATAGAAGGCTCTTCACCCAAGGTTATTTGAGCAGAAATAAGTAGGAGCAGGATTCTGCAATCTTCCAAGACACCTACAAGTTACTCAGGGGAGCCAGGGATGCAGCACTCATGAGTTGGTACCCAGGACATCCTTAAGTTGCCCATGCTCCTGTAAGTAGTCCCTCACCCATACTCCTATAAACAGCCCCAGTAAACCCATTGTTCACCAAGCTAGAAATGGCTGAACTGTTTCTTTGATCTGTCATTAGCATCCTACCTGGGAAGAATGGACATTTGTTTACATCTCAAGAGAAGCCACATAAGCATGATAACTTAAGACAGGTTAATGTTTATCTGTCCATCCACCTGTCTACCTGATGAGAAACATTAATCACTTAAACTGAATATGGTAGCCAGCCAGTGGCACAGGAAGCTACCTAGCTACCATTTGAAGACTTCTTGGATCAGCAGGCAGCAGCTGGCAGCAGGTAGAGCTGTTGAGGGGGAGGCACCCAGAGAGGAAAACCAGACACCCCTCACTGCATAGACCAAGGGCTGAGGGGCTTCCTTCCTCATGGCTGTCATTTTGGATCCCATATTGAGGAACCTAGCCCTCAGCTCTGTTGACCCCATTATCTTCCATCAAAGTCTACAGCTGAGGTGACTATTGGAAGTCTTAAGAGGTGTGTTATGCCAGCAAGGTCCTGGTGAATCTCATCCCTCCAGGGACAGCTAATGCTGGAGACTCAATATTTGTTGAGTGAAGAGTAAGTCCCAGATATGAGTCTCTGATACAATGGCATCCAGCACAGAAGATGGAATGTTGTTGCCACCATGACAAAGCAGCTGACATTTTCAGGGCATCAAGGTATTGAGCATTAAGGCAAGGGAACCATTCAGGCTCTGTCTGAGGTACTTCTCATCTCCAGGAAGAGCTTGCCTTTGCATGCAGTATCCAACTCTCCATGCAGTTCTGGGGGCACTCCCCAAGACCTGGAAAGAGGTGTTTAACATGCAGCCTGCCGCTCACAATCACCTATTTCAGGGGGGTAGGGAGCACACTGACCTTCCCACTGTGGGGAAGTGGCCGTCTTTTGAAGCCATCATGGCTGGCTTACTTAGAAAGTGATTTCCCCCAGGATCAGATAAAATGTGTCTGCACAGCCCTAGCCAGGCTGTAGCAGGGAGATATCCCCAGCCCCACTCATGGTCGGCAAATCCCACAGATGGCAACTTGATCAAACAGCAGTGTCTGAGCTAAGCTCCTTATCACTCCCCATCGGCGGGGGCTCTTGAAGCTCGCCCGTGGGAGGACAGCATCCTCTCCTCATCCTTCCTTCTGCTTACAGAATTCTAGTTACTCCGCCAGGAGAAAGCTCAGCTTTTGTTCAAGTCACAACCCCCAGGCTTTGGGTACAGGGAGGCCTCACTTAGGCAGTGTGGCTACCTGCTGCCCTCTGCCTGTGCTTTCTCCGGATTCATCTGGGAGCATGCGAGGGCTCTGCAGATGGGACAGGTGGTCTCTTCATGTCTGCTTGGTCACACTGTAGAGAATGATCCAACTATGAAGAGACAGTTGGGACCTGTGACCTCCCAGTCTCTCTTCAGCACAAGCCAACTTCTAGTGATGCATTCGCTCGGTTCTCCACTGCTGCTGGATTTCCACCTGCAGTGTTGGGATACACGAAGTGGACAAGATGATCTCCAGCCTATAAGACATCTTATAAAGCCCCACTAGATGTTTTGCATAGTGTTGTTTTCCCCATCTCCTAATCTTACTTACCCAACCCTGATCCTGAGAAGCTGCAACACCCCTGCTTTATAGTCCAGGAGCTTGAAGCTCAATGGGCTACACGATGCTCCTTGTCCAAGCAGGTTTAGAGTCTAGAAACTGTCAGAAAACCCCAGAGCCATGACTCCTCTGCATAGCTACATCCAGACAGAAAGGAAGCACATGATAATTAATTCAGAAGGAATTCTTCTCAAGGTGCCCTAACAGGAACATTTTGACAAACCCTTCCCTCTGCTGAGGCCACTTCTTAACCCTGGTAAGGCACTTCTGGGAACACTTAGTGTCACTCTGGTCAACAGGGTTCAGTGAATGGCATCCCCTGTGGGCTCAGGGATTAGGAGGGACCAATGGCCCACAGGTAGGCTCAGGCACAGAAGGGCAGCTATGCTTTACACTGTGACTCGTGGCACCTCTGGGTCCCTTAGGGGCTATGTTCCTCAGGACTCACCTGGCACTGGAGAGCCATAGATGGTGGTGATATAATAGCTATGCATCCTGCATGAAGCCCTGCCATGTGCCCAGCTTTCAAGTCACGTGATAGATGGGTCCTGGTCCTCCGGCTGAGGGCTGAGAACCAATACATTCGGCAACTGACATCAGCTGTACTCTGGACTGGCATCTTCAGTCGGTGGGTCAGTGAAGAGGAGGGAAAGCTGAAGGACTGCTTGTGTGCCACTCATAGGCAACTGCTGCAGGCTTGCAGGCATTTACTTGTGGAAGGGGATAGGAGCCTCCCAGGCAGAGATATGCATGTGAATAAAGCTGCCAGTTGCCAGGAATGCTGAAGGGCCTCCAGTACAGGCAGCCAAGAGTCCCTGAGTTCTTACCATGGCTGTAAATTGTCAGGTAAAGCAGAGCAGTCACAGACAACAACAGCAGAGCAAGACCAAAGCTCCTACAAGGGGCTGCCTCCCCTCATCCTACCCAAGCTCCAGTGACTCAGGTGACAGGGCTGGAAGCACAGCATTATCCTGTGTCACAGATGAGAGAGTCACAGAAACTGTCTTAGGACACATCTAGCTCTAGACTGGATGCAGTCCATCAGACATCACAGACTGGCCTCTCAATGATGAGCCTGCTCTCTGAAGCACACAATGGGGTAGAACTTTGTCCCCATTGCCTGGCCCTGTCTCTTGGTCTCCTCAGCCCTGCCTCATGCTCCTGCCCCCATCCCTGATCCCACCTCTGCCCCTGTCCCTGCCCTTGGCCCCACCCCTGGTTCCAACCCAGCTCTGCCCCTGACCCAGCTCATGACCCCTACCCATGGCCCTGCCCTCTAGCTTGCCAGTTCCATGTCATTGGGATGGAATCCACCAAGCTTTTTCCTCATGCCCCTCCCCTGCCCATGTCAGAAAGCAAGAGGGATCATGTGCCTCAGCCTGGTCCATCAGCTCATGGACAACAAGTTAATATTTCTGAGAAATCCAGTGAGGTCAGAGATTGGCAAATGACTGAGAATAACTTCCTTGTATCCCTGTGGATGATCTCATAGACAGGCCGCCTCTCATCACAGTTGGTAGAATAGCCCTTGAGGTTGTCTGCTGCCCATCTTGCTCCAGTGTGGAGAGAGCTGTTTTGAGAATGAAACCAAGCAGTTACATGGGACCAGTGAGTAGAAAGATGGATCAACCCACTCCTATAGATAGACATCTTTGGAAACTTTTAGTTATAGGAACTGTCTTAGAGTTTCTATTCCTGTGAAAAGGCACCATGACCACAGCAACTCTTTTAAAGGAAAACACTTAATTGAGGTGGCAGCTTACAGCTTCAGAGGTTTAGTCCATTATCATGGAGGGACATTGCTGTGTGCAGGGAGACATGCTGGAGAGGTAGCTGAGAGTTCTACATCTTGCAGGCAACAGGAAGTAAACTGAGATACTTGGTGTGGCTTGAGCATATATGAGACCTCAAAGCCCATCCCCACAATGACACACTTCCTCCAACAAGGCCACACCCATTCCTACAAGGTCACACCACCTAATAGTGCCACTCCCTTTAGGGACCATTTTCTTTCAAACCATCCCATTCCACTCCCTGGCCCCCCAAAGGCTTGTAGCCATATCATAATGCAAAAATGTGTTCAGTCCAACTTCAAAAGTCCCCATAGTCTATAACAGTCTCAACAATGTTTAAAAGTTCAAAGTTCAAAATCTCTTCTGAGATCCATACAAGTTCTTACCTGCAATCCCCTATGAAATCAAAATCAAAAAAACAGATCACATACTTCCAACATACAATGGAACAGGACATACATTACCATTCCAAAACAGAGCGAAGGGAGCACAGAGAGTAAATACTGGACTGAAGCAAGACCCAAAACCAGCTAGGCAAATTCCAAATTCTGCATCTCCATGTCTGATGTCAAAGCGCTCTTCAGATCTCCAGCTCCTTTCAGCTTTGTTGACTGCAGCAGACTTCTCTCTCTTGGGCTGGTTCCATACCTGGTTAGCAGCTCTTCTCAGCAAGAATACCACAACTCTGGAATCTCCAACTTCTTGGGGTCTCCAAGGCTACCCAAGCTTCAACTTCACAGCTTCACACAATGACCTCTCTAGGCCTCCATTCAGGGACACCCCTGACACATGCCTGCTCTCAGCAGCTTTGCTTAGTCTGGGAGGCAATTTCCACAGCCCCTTTATTCTATCCTTAAAACCAGAACCATGTGGCCCAAGCTGCTTCTGCTGCTTTCTGGGGCTGGAACATGGCCCCCTCGTTCAATTACATCTTCTAACTTTCTCTTTTCAATGATTTCCTTTACTGCCTAAGCTTAGCTGACCCGAAACTAGATCTGTAGACCAGGCTGGCCTCCAACTCAGAGATCCATCAACCTCTGCCTTCTAGATGATGCGATTAAAAGCACACACCACCACAGCAGGCTCTAAGCTTTTCTTTCCCAAGTTGGAAACTTAGGTGGGTAGGATCTTGCCACAGGAACCAATGCATTTAGTATTCCTGGAGTTAGGGCCTTAAGACTTGAACTTGGGGGTCACAATGTAGTCCATCCCTGCTCCATTTTTTATTCTCACAACAATGTCTTTGCAACAAGGGCTTTTGTCCTTAGTACAATCCCAGGTGTCCTTTTGTTCTTCTCTGGGTTGTGTTATGTTAAATCTCCAGCAGTGTGGCCCCTACAATGTCTCCCCAGTGCCCTGGTCCTGATAGTTTTCTACTGAACTTATGCTGGAGGTTCTACAGACTGCCTTGACAGTGGGATGGCACAGTCATGGTGGTGTGGAGATGTGGGCTCTCAGCTGGTCTTTTTCTCCTTCTGATGGAGTTAGCTTTTCCTTTATTTTGTGGTGCTGGGGGTTGAACCTAAGGCCTCAGGTGTGAGGGGCCAGAGCTCTACCACTGTGCTACAACTTCATCCCTTGTCTTCTAAGAAAACCATGAGATTTCCATGTTTGCTCTGTTCAGGTCCTTTTGGGGAGTCTGCATCCACAACCCATCTATTCCTTCACATTGTCACTTCCATGCTGCCTTGATTACAGTATCTTGGAGTCAGACTCACAGTCTAGCAATACAATTCCTGGTATTATTGTCTCTCATAAAGCTTTGATCTAATTTACTTGGCATCTCATATAAATTTTTAAATTATCTTGTCTCACAAAAATTCTTTGGTTTTCTTCTTTTACAATTCCATATATGCACAGAATGTACTTTGATCATGTCTACCGCCCCTCATCACTTCCTCACCCCCTTCTACTCCTGCTGATGATCCCCCTCATCACTTCCTCACCTCATCTACTCATGCTGCACCTCCTATTCTCCCCAACAAATTCCTCTCTTATTTTTATATCTTCATCTTTGGTTTTTAATTGGGCTTGCTTACACGGGTATGGGAGGGGGCATTTTTTACTGGAGCTCGGGTAGCTGACTAGAAAGTATACCACTGGAGAAAATGACCTCCCTGCCCCTGGTATCCTCGAGGTCCTCAGGAAAGGGTGGAGCCTGCTGAGATCCTCCCCTACCCATATGCTGGAGTGTTGATGGGTTCACTTTGTACTGGTAACTACAGCAGCTGTGAGGTCACGGTTGCAGAGGCCACGCCATGCCTAGAACCCAGCATCTCACAGTACTCCTCCCCATCTGCTAGCTCTTAAATTTTCTCTGTCCCCTCTTCTGTTACATCATCTGAGACTCGGAGGGAGTGAGGTAGACTTGGAATATAGGGTCAAGCACTCAGCAGTCATTTATTCTCAACATTTGAAACAGCTACAGTCTCTGCAACAACTGCTGCCCTCCAAACCAAAGTCCTCTGACCAAGGTGAAGGACAACACTAATCTGTGGGTATAAATATCCATTTAGAAGATGGTTTTGACAAACTATCCATTCAGCAAAACAACAGTAGTAGGTCCCCTCCCACCCAGGGCCTATCAACTCCCCATACATGAGCCTTGGACTGGGTTTAACGTGTAAGACATAAATTTCCTCCTATGTAACAGGCCTCAAATTCGGTAATAAAGCAGTTGGTTACCCCCACATCACTCAAGTCACTATTACGTCAGTGGGTACATGCCACTATTGCCTGGCAGGTTGATATTATAGCATTCAGGGTCCAGCTAGGGATAAGACCACTAAGCCCTGCTCTCCCTCTGCAGCCTGGCCAGAAACTTCCAGCACTACGAAAATTGGCCTTCAGGGAAGAAGCTTCCCAGTAAGTTCTAGATTTCTCTATATCCTGCAAGCAAAGTGTGTGGTGCCATCAGCAATTGGGTCTTACCATTTGGTTTTGGTGGGCAATCAAAAGCAATAACAGGAGCCTGTGCTGTTTTATACAAGTTTATAATGTCAAATACAGCTGATGAATGAGAACATTTTATTCTTTCCCCAGTTTTAGGGGTAAGTAACTACGCCATTGTTGAGTAAGACGCTAGCTGTAAGTTGGAGAAATGCCCTTCAGTAGACAAAGGCCCATTACTTCCCTTCTTAGTTTATTTTGCTTTTTTTCTTGTAAATAGATTTGAGTTTTGTCCAATGATTATATGACATTATTTCTCAAAGAGTTATTATTATTCATTACATTTCTAACATTGATCCAGTTTTGAATTCTTGTAACAAACCCCGTTGAATGACAATACATTAATTGTAAGTTTGCTGCCAGAACCAGTAGTTGGTTGAGTAGATTTGCAGACATGGACAGTGCTAACATTTCATCTTTGCTCTCTCTCTCTCTCTCTCTCTCTCCCCTCTCTCCATCTCCCTCTCCATCTTTCCGATTCTGCTTCCCCTTCCTCTGCTCCTGCTCCCCCTTCTGCACCTCAACCTAGTTAAGTGTTTGTGTAATGTTTATTTTATAAAATGAAAGAAGAAATTTTTCCCTTTTTTTTCAGTATGTCTTATATAACTAATAGTGTTTTAAGTACTGGGTACTGGGTGGAATGTTCCTTTGGCCTGGAAGTTTCTTTCTTGGGGGGCTCCTAACTGCATATTCCATGGAATTCACAGAAATATGATGGCTGAGGTTCTATTTCATCTTGGGTGAGTTTTAAATAATCTGATTTTCAAGACCTTGGTACATTTCCTGTGAGGTGTACAATTTACTTACATGTGTGGGATTCTCTTTTTATGTTTTTCTTTTATTTAACAACAAAAAAAGCAAACCCTTGTTTCTGAGGACGATAACGGCTTGATTCCCATCTGCCCTTGCTAGCCCTGCACTAATTGGTCTGACCTTCACAGGGAATCAGCTCCGGTGTCTGGATACTTCCTATTGCTGTTCTCGGTCCCACTGACCTCTGCTCTCACCCTGTCATCTTCCCTAACTTCCCCTGTGTTTATTCAGCTCTTCACCCTCCATTTTTCAGGTGAAGTTAAGAGTATTTGTTTGAAAGCATTCGTCTTTTCTGACAAAGCCATTAGACGATTTAGATTTCCTTGCTGGAGATGCATTAGCTACAGCTCACAAATTTTGTGATACTTTATGCTCATTGTTACCCGGTTAAAAATATTTCTAAATTCCCTTCAGACTTCCTCTTCGACCAGTTACCACCTCTGCCGTGTTGATGAGTTTCCAGGGGTCTGTTTATCATTCTGTTGTTGATTTCTAGCTTAATTCCGTTACAGCAGGAAAGAGGGTTGGCTAAGAGCTCAGAGGTGGTCTGGCTGGGTGCCCTGAGCACAGCTGAA